AAGGGGCCTTGGGGAACCTCCCGTGAAGGGGGACCTTTGTCTTTTGCGGGACGACGGGCAGGACACCGGTTCCGCCGGCCACGGGGGGGCCCAATTCACGGTTCACGGACGCGTCCCCCTCGGGGGCTCCTCGGGTTAGGTTCGGAGCTCGCGCTGCCCGGGGCAAACGAAGGGGGTCGGTCGGCCGCCGAGCTGACCACGTACGTGCACTGCACCGCCGGCGCCTTCAACTTTGGGGCGAGCGCGGCGGAGGGGCGGCGGCCTGTCTTCAGCTCCGAGGGGGAGATCACCGTGCAGGAGCTGTTCCAGTTCCCGGGCTTTTGCTTCAACGGCGCGGTGGTGGCGTGGCTCGAATGCCAGCGAGGCCTCTCCCTCGCCCAGAAGAACGCGCTCTGCGAGCTCCCTCCCCCGCCCGAGGAGGGAGAGGCGCCGCCCCTCGGGCAAGTGGCGGGGCAGGTGGGGCCGCTCTCTGCAGGCCGCCTCCCGCTCGCCACCCCTCCCCTCCTACAGGCTCCCGCCCGGACACGTCCGCGGTGCGCCCACGGCGCACGCGCCCCCATAGGCCACCCGCTGCTCGTCTCCCTCCGCAACTTGCGTCGCTGGTACGCCACCCCCGGGATGGGGGAGTGGCTGCACGGCCTCCGCCTCTTCTCGCTCGCGATGAACGGGTACAGCCTCGCCGAGGGCAGGGCGCTGGTGGAGAAGAATTGCGACGGGCTCGTCGAGGCGGGCTTGCTGACGCCGCCAGAGGAGGGGCGCTGAGCGGCGGAGGCGAGCTCGAGCGAGCGCTGGCGCGCGTCTTCGAGCCCGCGCGCCGGCGGCCGGCACCCGGTGCAAAACAACCCGTACACTAGGTGTGGTATATATTTTGATGACATATATTTTGATAGCCACGAATGAGAGACACTATACCACTGTGGTCTGTGGAGCTCGCGGTCTCGCGCGGGCCGCTCCGCCACGCGTGTTATGATAACACACGGGCGTAGAGTGTTCCATTTGGCATTTCACCTCGAGCATTTCACTCACACACTGTGGCACCGAGCTCAGTGGAGCTCATGCTCAAATCCACAAAACCTTGATTTTGACCATTTGCGCCATTTTGTACCTCTCGGTGCCTTCCAGAGGCAGCTGCGACCCCGCCGAGTAGACGGTTGCACACAGCAGGTGGCGCGGTGTGCAACCGTCCCCACTCGGCGGGGTCGCAGCTGCCTCTGCGCGTCCTGGGGAGGTACAAAAGTATCGCCGCCGGAGACGACTCGACGCCGCTGAGATCGGAGATCAAGCTCTGACAGGTCACACGTCGCTCCTTTGACGCCGACGTGGCTCACCCGTGCAGATCACATCAGGACACAGTCTCGACGCGCTCGGTATGACGCCTGCGACCCGTCTCGGGTCAGGTGGCACGACGCTCATCGCGCCTGCCAGCGCTGCCGTGCAGGTTGCCACGACGAGGTCGAGCACGCTTCTATACGCTCGCTGAGCCTTCCTTTCCATCCCATTAGGCAGCCTGGGAACGGTGGCGGTCAGAGGCAAAGCCTACGAGGGGTGGTGGAACCACATGTCACGGCCACTGCCGGCTCGACGCCACGATAGCCTCCGGAGGCTGACTTTGAGGCACCATCGGACGATTGTCGACGAGTTGGGTCGCTCTCGCGGTAGCCAGATGACCTCCCATGCTAGTATACCATCGGCTAGGGCCGCAGGAAGCGCGGGGGAGGGCGCTGGGAGCAACACGGAGCTCCGTTGGACGTTTTCAAGATTAGCGTGTCAGAGTGAAATAAATGGAACTAGCCTCTAGCCACGATATCCGCACATTTTGTTTGACATAAAAAGGGTGTGGACCGTGAGTTGAGGCCAATCGAGGCGCGGGACGCGACCCACTTCGCCACAGACGGTCCCGCGCCTCGCCGCTATGACGGCCACACGGCGACCTCACCCTTCGCGCCGACGACCTAACAACAACGGGGAACCCAAGCTCGGACGAAACAACCTCACCCAAAAAGCACGATTCTCAAGTTGGGCCCTCCGAGGAGGTGAGGTGGAAGGATGACCCGTAAGCGTTTTACCGTTTGTCGTGACCGCTCTCTTCGTGGTAGTTGTATTGAGGGCTTTAGAGAGAACCATAAAGAAAGAAAGAAAACACACAACCCAAGGGAGGGATGGGAGAACCATGCCGCAGGCGAGGAGCGTCGGCGATTTGTTTTACTCGAGCGGCGCGGCCTTCGCTCGGCTGTGCGCTGCTGCCCGCTCTTTCGCTGAGGCTGCGAGTGCTGTCGCGGTCCTAATGGTACGCCCGCCCACATTGATCGAGACGCTGGCCGAAGTCGACCGCCAGAGTGCCGACGGTCCGGCGCTTGTCTCAGACGAGCAGCGTGTCGCCGCCGCCGCCGCCGCGAAAACGAGGAAGAAGGAGCTCGTCCGCGCAGCCGGCCGCGCGGCAGTGGAGGACTCGCTGCAGAATGGCCAGGAGGGCGCGCGGCGCAGCGGTCCATGCCTCACCACGGAGTGCCTCGCCGCGCAGTGGCACGCATACGCAGAGGTCTACGGCACGAATGGGCTGGCGACAGGTTCTGCGGCGGCGCTGGGGACACGGCAGCCTGAGGCACGGCCAGCTCCTCCGCCAGAGGCTCCTCCGCCAGAGGCTCCTCCAAGTGCTCCTCCGTCAGACGCTCCTCCGCCACGGGAGAGGCCCCTCGCGATCTGGGACTTTTAGAGCCACTGCCTGGAGCTCGTCGCCGCGAAAGTGCACTTCGGGGCACACGTGCGCGAAAACCCCTAGCGCAGGTTTTGCGGCGGGTATCAATTTGTGCAGAGTAGGCGAGGTGTATGTCTATGTGAACTGCTGTGTGTCTCAGTCGGTTTGTTCCTTCAATCCTTGCACCTTTTTTGCTCCTTTTGCGTTTTGGCTCATGCGACAAAACTCTCTTGATGTTATTCCGCCTCAAGGGTCAAGACCCCCCAAGGGTTACCAAGGGCCAAGGGCAAGGCCAAGCTGCAAGCAAAAGCTTCGATATAAAGCCGCCGTTTTGACGGTTTTGTCTCGCCGTGTGGTGGTCATGGTGGGCGTGGGGTGGTGTCTCCCCTCGTAGCGGAGTCGCGTCGCTCGCGAGCTCTCATGACTCATCCGCCGCTCCTCCCCTCGGCCCTCGCGGCCTCGGCCCTCGCTGGTCGCTCGATTCGTCGATCCGATCGACGGCGACGCGCGCGAGGGCGAGCGAGCCGACTCTGCGGCGGCCGCAGCCGGCCAGCCGTCTGCCCCGTCTCGGCGACGGCGTGGTCTCTAAAGAAAGAAATAAAACAGACAAACCCAGACGAGGGATGGGGGGGGAGGACAGGGTCCCCACCTGCACGAGCAGGATTTGGAGACGCCTCCCTCCCACGCAAACAAGGCGTCTGTCCTCGTCCACCTTGCAACGAGGACCCAGAAGCCAGAAGCCAGGACGAGTCATGGAGCACTTGGCGTACCACGCGGGCGAGCTCGGCAAGGCGGTGATGTGGAACCTGGGCATGGGCGGCGACGACGCCACGGCGCGGAACGGCGAGTTTGCGCTTAGCCCCGAGCACTATGCGTACGAAGGGTACCAAGCGCAGAAGGCCGAGCAGTCCGCGGCATTTCTCGCGGGCCAGGAGGAGGTGCCGGGGCTGCTGGGCGCATTCAACCACACGTGTCTGATCCCGCTCAACCGCTCGCTCGTCGCCGGCAACGGCACGCTGACCTGGTACGACGAGCAGCTCGATGGCCCCCTGGGCTACGGCTCGTGCGCTGACTCGTCCGTCCTTGGCGCGGTGATCCTCTTCCTGCTCGTGGTGCTGATCGCGACGTCCAGCCGCAGTGGCGGCGGTGTTGCGTCCCGCGCGTTTGACTATACCGGGTACAAGGCGACCCTGCCGACGGCCCCGAAGGGCCCGAAGCCGACAAAGAAGGAGATGCAGCAGCTCAAGGAGCGGGCCCGGGGAGCGGCGCTGGTCTAGAGCCTCTGGATGGCCACGTCGTTTGACTTGTCTGGTAGAGCAGCAACCGCGTGCGTCTCCATCTCTCTCCTTCCTTTACGCATGATACGTGTGTTTGGACGTGCCGACCGCTAGAGCACATCTCTAGTGTGTGCGCGTGTGCCGTGCCCGTGCGTGCGCGGCCAGTGTGGGCTGTGGGCGGCGGCGTGGGCGTGGTGTGTGTGGATTGAATCTAAGTTTACTGTCGAGATTGAAACACGCCGGCACGATCCCGTCGAGACGCGCGCGCGGCGTGCCCCATGCACCACCAGCACCGCCGCCCGCCCCCGGGCCGCGGCCGCGCCGGGGGGGCCGCAGACGCGGCCCGCACGTGCGGCACGTCCACGAGTGACGAGAGGCACAGTCTGACCCATACAGTTGTGACCTCGTGTCGACGTGTCCTTTCACCTTTGTCGTCTCGGCGTGACACACACTGTCGTCCCGCAATCACCGTCCACGGCGCGCCGCGCCGCGGGCGCCGCCGCGCCCCCAGAGCCCCGCGCCGCCGCCGGACTTCGCGCCGGGCTGCCGGTGCCGCGGCGGGGCGGGGGCAGTGCCGCGGAGTGCGCAGTGCCGCCGGCACCGGCTCTGGGCTCTGTCCGCTCGCAGGCATCACATGGAGCCGCTCTCGACGGGACCCGCTGGAGCAGCTCTCGAGAGCGCGACCGTTGTGCGCATTCCAAAATCCAAAGTGTGCGCGCGCTCACGGCGCTATTGATTACGGCCGCAGAGATCTGACAAATACATGTAGCCCTCCCCAACCTACATGGCGTGCTCGCCGTGCCGGCGGGATGCTCGGAAGATGAGCGAGCCTGCAAAGATGCAAGCGTTCTGCGCGACTACCGCCGGGCCTGCACCCTTCCACGCCCGCTCGTCGGCTGCATTCTCTACGAGGATCCAGATGGCGCCGCCCAGCGCGGTGAACATGACCACAAAGCACACCGTTACCCACAGCCTCGCGCGCAGCGCGACGCTCGCATCGCCCAGCGTGTCCTCGCTCACCGCCTCCCAGTTTAGGGCGTTGAGCATCACCAGCGCCGCGGTCTGCAGAATGCCTGGCGCCCAATAGGCGCCGCTGCGCAGACCGGCCGGCGCGAGCGGCAGCGTCGAGTTGACGGGCGGAGGGGACGCCCACTCCGCCTCAGCGCCCGCCTGTAGCAGGTAGCCGACAAAGAGCCACCTGCGGCCGAGGCAAAAATTGGACGTGCGCACCAGAGCGGCGGCAGCCCGCGTGCGGGAGCGCACGCACCAGCCGAGAGCGGTGAACGTGCCGCCGAGGAAGCTGCCTGCAGTGGCAACAGCGCTGGTGTAGTCGTCGTCGTCGTCAAGTAGGCCCATATATGTAGATGCACCACACGATGTGAGGTTGATGACTGCACTCCTGTTGTTCCCATTCCCACAGGAAGGAGCTGTGAATTCTTCTCAATAACGTCCGTCGCAGTGCTCGTTACGGCGGTAGTGATCACTCCTCTTGGTCCCTTCTGATGCCCTAGGGCTCTAGGGGGCGGGCAGGGTTTGCCCCCCCAAACTGGCCCGAAGGACCTTCCCAAGGCTGTGAAGCCGGGTGCAATATTGCCCCCGCCGGGGGGCTGACCTACCCGGATAGGGGGTCTGTTCACACTGGCTGGCCCCTCCCAGATAGGTAGGTAGGTTGGTCTTGTTTGGCCCAAAAGGGCCCTGCAATAGGTAGGTACCCGCTATTTTCATCTTTTTTCGCTTCGCTGCGCGGCCTGGGGATAGGGTAGGTAGGGCGTTTTGGCGCGAGTCAGTGCGACAGACCCCCTATCCGGGCCAAGAGCCGGAACCCAGCGAGGAGCCGGAAACCCGGCAGCGTTCTCCACCGCTCCACCGCGGCCTGGGCCTCCTCCCGCATCGCTGCTCCAATACTCGTGTCGCGTCCCACCAGCATCCTCCATTTCGAGCCCCTACCGGACGATGCTTGACCCGCCTGCCACCGCTGCCGCTCGCGACGAACCGGCAGAGGGCGGCATCCCTCCCACCCTCTCGCAGCGGGTCCTGCTCACGCTTCCAGAGTCGTCGCTCGACGTGGCGCTCGCAGCGTCACTCGAGTCCAAGGCTGCCAGCCGGGCCAAGATCTGGAAGGGCATCCTCGCGCGCTCGGCGCCTAGCCTCGCCGCCGTCGCCGCGCTGCCTCCTCCGACGGGTGCCGGGTCTGACCCGTCCGAGCCGTCTCCGTGGTCGACTCCGCAGACCTCGCCGTCACTCGCGGCGGCCTCGAGTCGCGGCGGCGGCGTCCCGAGCGCGCGGCGTGAAGCGAGCTTCGGCGTGCGCATCAAGCGGACGCTGACCGCGGCGCACTGGAAGGTGCCAGACATCGTTCCGCTGCAGGCCTCGTTGGTGCACCACCGGAAGGTGCCCTTCAAGGGGCTGGTGGTGTGCTGGCAGCTTCTGCTCGGCACTCCGCGGCGGCTCGGGCGAGACACATCCCCGACACGTCCGCGACACGTCCGCGACACGTCCCGCAGGCACGCTCGGAGGCGCGGTGCTGTACAGCCTCGAGTCTCGCCAGTCTGGGCTCGGCCTCGCCGACGCCTTCTTCACCGCCTTCTCTGCGGGCACCTGCACCGGCCTCGCAACCTTCAACATCACCGCCTTCGGAGGCGCCGCAAAGGCGCTGCTCGCCTCGGTCGTGGCCTGCTCCGCACCTTCTCCGTACCTTCTCCGAAGCTTCCCGGCGCCTTGCTGCAGGCGCTGCTCGCCACGCTGATGGTCTGCGGCTCCTCCATCCTCATCTCGGCAGTGCCTCTGCACCTGCGCCACGCGGCGCTGCGCCGCAACGTGCCTCCCGGACTCAAGTCCGCGACTAGTCTCCTAGTCGGCTGCCGTTGTCATCAAGCCATCAGTTGGATCAAGCCATTAGTCATCAGCCGGTAGCAGCGTCGGAGCGCAGCGTCGGGCCAAGGGCGAGGGCGAGAGGAGGGCGAGAGGAGGGCGAGAGGAGCTGCGCCTGTGCGCCGCGTGTGAGGAGACGCCGTCCCCGCCCCAGGCACGTCGAGCTCAAGGAGCTCCGCCGCTGCCCCGAGTGGCTCGTCGCGCTCTCCTCGACGCGGAGCACCGTCCGCCCCACGTCCGTGACGTGTCCACGTCACGTCCCGCAGGCTGGTCGAGCTCAACTCGATGCGGCTCCTCCTGTGCGCCATCTACACCTACCAGGCGGTCCTCCTCTTGCTCGGGTTCGGACTCATCTACGCGGCGGTCCCCCCTCCTCCTCTTCCGCCGAGGCGAGGTGCGTCCTGCGGCCACGCATCTCGGACGCTTCTCGGAACCTTCCTGCAGGTCGCCTCCTCGCCCCCCGAGGCTAGGGGCGTCTGCTCCTACCCGCGCTTCTCGACTCTCGATGGCCAGCCCGCGCCAAACGCCACGGAGCTGCCTTGCCGGCCCGGACAGCTCGCGGCCTTCGTGTCGATCGCCGCGTTTGCAAACGCACGCGACGACGGAGCTGGGCTCTGTCCTCGATGCGGCCCCCGACGCGTCCCCGACACGTCCCCAGGCCGGTATGACGACAGAGCCAGGCTCGCTCGAGTCCTTCAACGAGAACGTGCTGATGCTGTGGGTCATCGCCGTGCTCGTCCTCGCAGGCAGCTTGCTCTGCCCTGCCCTGCTCCGCTGCGATCTCGCTGCGATCTCGCTCACTCGCCTGCACCCGCTCCTCAGGCAACGTGCTCTACCCCGTCCTCCTCCGCTGGTCGATCCGAGCCTACCTCTGGTGCATCCCGATCGATGACGCACGCCGCTTGTGGGCGCGCCGCCGCCGCCGCCGCCGCCGCTCTCCGGCTGTACGCCCATGACACGCCCACACCCCTCTCCGCAGGCGCGCCACCTGCTCCTCTCTGGTCGAAAGATGTGCGCCTTCGCCGACCACCACCACGCCACGCCCACGCCCACGCCCACGCCCACGCCCACGCCCACGCCCACGCCCACGCCCACGCCACGGCAGGTACGGCTTCCTCTTCTCGACCGAGCAGACGACGCTCCTCCTCCTCACCCAGCTGGCGGTCTGGCTGGCGCAGGCGTGCGCCAACGCCTGCCCGCGACACCTTGTCTCGCCCCGACAGCCGCGTCGTGCGTGAGTGAGCCACGCCCTTCACGACCCAGGCCTTCACCAACTACATCTTCCTCGTCCACGAGCCGTGGCGCGGCTCCATCCGCGTCGGAGGCGGCCTCTCCCGCACCTCCGCCTCTCCCGCACCTCCGCCGTGCCGCGTGCAGGCCGCGTCCACGACACGTCCACGACGCGTCCCGCAGGCAATCTCTCGGAGCTGGTCGAGTGCGACGAGGACCCCGACTGCCGCAACGAGATGCGCGCCGCGCTGCCAGACGACCTCTTCATGTCTGTGCAGACCCGCCACGCCGGCTTCGCACTCTACTCGCTCGCCAACGAGAACACGCCCGTGCTCGCCATGTACATGCTGGCGATGATGATGGCGCCCGTGCCGCTCATGATCGCCGTCCACTCCTCCTCGCGCCGCGTCTCCGGCCGCGCCCACGGCACCGACGAGGCGGCTGCCCGCGAGGTGGACGACGGCGGCGGGCCGGCCGAGCCCCTCACCGTCGCCGAGCGACTCGCCGGCCACAGGTGGAGCAGCGAGACACTTCCCAGACACTGCCTGGACACTCCCTGGACCTCTCCCTCGCCGGCCGCAGGGCGCAGCGGTGGGCGGAGCGCGCCACCGCCCGCGTCCGCCTGCGAGGCGAGCTCGGAGGCGCGTCCGACGGGGCGGCCGAGGCGTGCCCTCCTCAGGCCGTGCGAGACGTGCTCTCTCGGGACCGGATGGTCGCACAGCTCGGCTCGCTCTCGCTCGCCCTCGTGCGGGCCCCGTCCCTGACGTGCAGGGGCCTCCGCACAGGCGGCCAAGATCGACCAGCTCTCGCTCGCCCTCGCGCGGCTTCCGTCGCACGCGAGCCGCTCGGGGAGCGGGAGCGAGCGCACCTCGTCGGCAGGGTCGGTGGCCGACTTGGGCGTGCTGCAGCTGCAGACGATGCTCTGGCGCGGGCAGGTTGGTTTGGCGGCACGCGCACCGCCTCTCGCCCTTCAGGCCGAGGCCCGAGACGCGTCCGTGACGCGTCCCTGCAGGTGACGTGGCGGCACGTGCTGCGCCACCACTTCTCCGCCGCCTGGCGCGCCATCGTCAGCTTCATCGGCGGGCCGACGTTGCAGCGCGACCTGCTCTTTGCCTGGATGGCGTGGTCCGC